TACTTCCAGGCATTTGCAAATCAAATAAAAAAGGCCTGGGTCACCGCATTGATATTTAAAGAAAACATTATAACTTTAGACAATCCTCCAGGGCACCCAAAATCTCTATGGAATTCATAACCAGAAATCAAATGTTGTGTTTCTTGCTTCCAATACTACATGCCTCACATAGCCCATGAACTAAACAGTGATAGCTATGTTTATGTCAAGACTTTGAAAATAAAAAATATGAATGAAGCTTTCATGCATCTTGATAATTTTTGACTATCAGTGAAGAATATGATCCCAGTGGAGAACATATATCTCTATGTATGGTGACTGAGAAAGACACAGCTCATTATGGAATTGTTCACATGGAAAAAAAAAAAAAAAAAAGAGGGGGGTAATACTTAACTATCTCTTGCAAGTTTATAAAAACACTTGAAAGTGCTTAAACACACCTCATTAAGTTAATTATACACAATTTTAAATAAATATTATTAAAGATAAATATTTTAAAATACTATTTTTAATGTTATTTTATATCCCTAACTTTCAAGATTCAACATTCACACATATTTTCAGGATACATGTAAAAGTAGATGGCTGCCTGTGATCATTCATAATTATTTTATACTTTTGGTATTCCAAAATAGAAATCAAAAGCTAAAACTGAAAAGTGTTTAGTTAGTTAGTGTTTAATAGTTTATTTATTACCACAAAGAATACATAATACATAGGACTTCTAAGACATTGTCTAAATTACATACTTTGAAATAGTATGATAAGTACAGGCTTGAAAATCGATTTGGTTACAGAAAAATTTTTCAACATGGTGATATTTTTTTTAGGTTTGATTATTAGAATATGACAAAGCTATGGCAGCTATCTGCCTGAAAGGAGGGATGCTTCTGCAGAAGACTTGAAGGAAATTTGCTCTTAAGTCACATATGACAAAAACCAATCATGCAGCCAGTAGTTCGAACCCAAACCAGTTCGAACTACCAGTATTCAGCATTCTTAACCACTTGGCCACAGGTGGGACAAGATTTTTTTAAAATTTATTACCATCTTCTAACAAGTCATATTTAAAATTTACATAGTCACAGTATAATGCCTGTAAATATTTTTAATTATTCATATCATTAAGTCAACTTCTGGACTATAAAAACTGGTTGACAATTTTTACAGAAAAGATTTGTCAGAATTTTTACAGAAAAGATTTTTTACCAAATTGCAAATGGTAGTTTGCAATTTGGAGCGACAGCAGAATACTCAGCTCATCTGAATTACATACATACATACCGATGATATGACAATACAAAATTATAGGAGTAATCTTCTATAGATCTATTTACATAGAAGCATTTCTTACATTAAAAACATGGAACGAATTGTCCTGAATAAAATAGTCCACCACCTAAACAGCCTTTTTCTTTTTTTCTTTACACTGATAAACTTGATTTAATACGTATGAACTCAATTTTATCAAACAAATGCAATTTCTTTGATGCACAAAAGTAATAAATGGTGATAATAATACTTAAGGCCCTGTTCATGTAAAAGCCACAGTATAATTTAATATCTGGCAAATGAATTTAACTTTTGATAATAATATAATAGATTTTGATAATAAGTTACAGCTAAAAAATAAATGCTATTTCAGTTATGTATTTATCTTGCATGAAGCAAATAAATTTTTAAATAGAAAAGGCAAAGAGAAAAATTTAAATTCGGTTGATCTTTACAATATGGTAACTGGTAGTTGGCGACATTTGGAGGCGATTAAAGGTACTACCTGGGACTTTGGTAATATGTGAGCAGTACTCAGTTCCGATACGCATTATTTTGGTGAGGGAAATGAGAGAGCATGGGATATGTCATGTGATATTAATGGACGAATTACGGTTTTAATCGGAAAGGGGGGGAATCGGGAAAAAATCTGGAAATTTTATTTGGCTTATCTGTGTTGTGTGAAACAGTGTTGTTAATTTTTGGATACATGGCTGTAACTAAGGAATTCGAAATGGGTATTTAGTGGTATTGAAAAGGAGTAATAAATGTTTGTTTAAGTTGTGGAGATAGAAATAAAGATGTTTTATTAAGTTATTTATTTTACTGGTACCTTGCTGTGAAATATAAGTATGATTTTAAAGATTCTGAACAGAAGAAGAAGAGTTATCGGACACGTAATCAAGATGAAGAACATTAGGTAAGTAGTATTTTTAATTATTTGAGGATATTATTTTTATGCTGTTCTAATGTAAGTGGAAAGGATTTGGTATTATTGGAAAATTGTTATTAGCAATGACTTAGTTTAAGTAATTAGGATTGTAAGGTAATTCTTATTAATTTAATGTATGTGCTCATTATATTTAGTAGTGTTTTTTAATTATCTCTTATGACATGATATTATTTTGTGAATTTTATGTTTGTAGGAATTTGGTACGTTTTAGGAAGTAAAGTGCATGGAAATAATTAAATACCTGGCACTAGTATTGTTAATGGTGCAGTATGAATTCGTTGGTGCCGTTTATAAGTAATAGATGATTTAGAGGTAAAAGTTTTTGGAATTTATTTATTTTATATGTGGAAATGTTCATATTTGGAAAGGGTAAATACTTTTCGCGATCAGGTAATTTCATATGTTCTTTTTCCGGGTTTAAAGATTGAGAAAATTGTCATGTATTTTCGTGAAATTTTCTAATTTATGAGAAAAAAGCAGTGTACATGGATATAGTGAAGAGTGTGCGCAATGCCATTTTGTGCAAATTCTGGAATTTTTTTAAGTAAAATAAGTCGGCGTGTACATGGTTTTTGTGTATGTGTTATTTTGAAAACGCGTAAGGAGTATGGTATTGTGCACTTTTACCCAATTTTGCAGTGAATATTTGTCATGATTAAGCGTTTTGTTTGATAAAATTTCTAGCATAAGTGTAATTCGGCTAGTAGATTGTTGGAAGAAGTGTTCAGTAGATAAAAAGAAAAGAAACATGTCTTTACTTCGTGAAGACAAAATGGCAGTGGGGAAAAAAAAATAGAGGGTTGCTGTAGGAGAGTTGGTTGCCAAATTTTCACCAAAAAATCGCCAAGTTACCATAATGTAAAGATCAACCTTAAATTCTTATTAAAATACAAATTCATAACAATCAGGCTCTATTTCAAAATATATATATATAAGAAAATATATAAGAAACATAAATTTTAATAAAAAATTCAATTAAAGTTTAAAAAAATCAGCAAAATTAATGATAAAAAGAAAATAGGATACTATCTCAATCTGATTTTGGTTTAGAACTTGACATCCATATTTGTTCATCCACAGAAGCTATCATTTACTGCTTGCATATTATTAAAAAATGCTGACAAGTTGAGATATAGTGCAAAATAGTAATACTTGAGATAATCTAGAATTCCATGGTAAAGGTTGCATGGCAATTATAAGAAATAAACCCTTTTCATAAAACCAAAACAAAATATGTTTTAATGCATATAAAATTAATCATGAATATTAAAAAAAACTAAAATATAGATATTCAATTTAATACTCAAAAAAACTTATAATTAGTGAATAGATATGAATAACATCAACAATTAGATAAACAATTGAAAACACAACACTCAAAATTCTAACTTTACAAAATAAACTGAATCACTGAATAAAACAATTATTGAAAGTGATACAGGGCATTTTCTAAATGATCACATAAATTCAAATGCTGTTTTCATAATTTTTCATCAAAATAAATTCTCAAATGTTGTATTAGATTGTAAAAAATATAAAATCACATTTCAGATCTCAAATTCCCTTCTTCTGCTCCCCCCCCCAAGGATTATGTGTGTGTGTTTATATATAAATATATTTTTTCCTTTTTTCCTGACCAATTCTTGCCCCCCCCGCATTTTTTTATGAGGCATTTGAAAATTATAGTTCAGACAGTAGCAACAACCTTACTGATTATAAAACTTCAAGACATCTTTAGCAATTACATTAGTCTTCACTTCTATGGTCTCAATCTAAAGACTACAACTATAATAATTTAAGTCAAAAAATGAAAATAAGATGTTAAAAAAATTACAGAACCAACAAATCAGACCTGCACACTTATTTTTATCTGAGGCAAAAAAAAAATCATACCAGATTTCTCTAAAGTTTTCAGACGAAAATAAATCTTAGCACAATGTTTGACATTAAATAATGTGATAATGCGATACACACATTTATACATATTTAATTTTTTTACCAAAGCTACACTTGAATATAGTCCATCCTTTTTAATTCTATTTTATTTTCAAACACTTATCACAAGAAGCCCACAAAATTACACAGAAATCACATGAAATCAATGGAATTATATGAAATTTTAGAGTAATCATATGAAAATTAGTAGCTACAGCATTGTGATACCTGTCTAGTAAAGCTTGCCTTTGAAAATATACAGCTTTCCATGACGAAAAATATGGTCTTTTCAATTGCATACAGAATTTACTTTTAACAATAAAACACATTTTTTTGCATGTTGTACCAATTATTAAAAATTCTGAATATCAGAAATATGTAAAAGTAATCAATATAGGATGTATTGACATATGATTTTTATTCATACTAAAAAATAGCGATCTAAGTTTTGCTTGTTTTTTTTTTCCTTTAATTTTGTATTTAAGATCGTGGTTTCTAGATGAACTCACATGTTACAATTAATAGTACAACAAAGAACTGTATCCATTCTGTTTATAATCGATTAGCAACAATTAGCACTTGCAAAACATAAACTCCACAAAACATACCTACAGTTTAAATTCAATCATTCTATTAAACAATTAATAAAAATTTCAAATGAATATTAAAACCTATTCTATGCATTAAAAGAAAAAATAAAACAAAACTCGTCACGGTTTCTTTTTCTACCGCTGTAAGTTTAAACTATAATTTTAGCAGAAGACAAAAAAATAATTACTATCTTAATTATGACAGCTATAAATTTCTATAAAAAAAAACTCCTGCATATTTATCATCTTACCCCCTCGTTTGATTTCCATTGTAGTACAATTCGTAGCACACCTAACAACCGTCAACACCTTTATTGAAAATTTACGAACTCGGACAAGTAAAGTAGCGTCTTGCCCTAGCATGGTTTATGCTTCACGCATGTGCAATAGGCATATTTTCAGCATGGTAACCTTAGTCGCTTGGCCAAAGAACATGTATGTATGTTTGTTTGGCTTGGCGATGAATTCACAATTCAGACTTCAGCGATTGTGGAATGTGTGAAATTTGTACACTTTGTACCCAATTATTTACTGGGCATTTAAAAAAAGCGTATGGGGTGAGCTTTGTGCCCAAATATGCGAGAATTTATTTTCTAGGGACTTAAAAAAACGTATGGGGAAATAGACTTTATTCTTTTTTCACTCATGTTGATGTTTATGAACTGTTTAAATGAATGCTGTAGGTTTTTATAACGTGCAATTTACTTAACCGTATTTTACATTTTTTTTTTTTTTTTTTTCCAAATGTATTTTTGTTTGATATTTCATCTTGCATTTACTATTATCATAAAATTTCTTTTCAAATTCATGCTTTCCACAAAGGCATGTCTCATCGTAGACAAATAATTCTTGAGAGCTTAACATAATCAATTAATTTAACCTCATTTTACCAAATTTACTTTTTATTTCATATTTACAGTTATCATAAAAGTTCATCTTTTAATAGGCATTCAGCAAAATAACATGCTCTGGTCCTTTCTTTTCGTATTCTTGATTACATTATAGTGGTAATCTGAAAGGTAATTGCAAATAGGTGTTCGTACACCCCAAACTCTAAAAGGTAATTGCAAATAGGTGTTCGTACACCCCAAACATATAAAATTACCTTTCATATTAATCACGTGAAATATAAGAAATCAGTAACAGCTTAACTTCTTCAACGCTTCAAGCTTCTTATTCAGGCTTAACTTCCACAACGTAACAAAATTTAGTGGAATAATGTGTTTAGTTGCCAATCTCGTGATACATTGCCAATTCTGCATAACGTATCCCAGCCAATAACGCCAACGAAACCTGCCATTGCGCATGCGTGAAGCATAAACCATGCTAGGGCTAGACGCTAGACAAGCAGACAGACAAAGTAGACAGATGTCTTGTTTTGCACCCGCTAAGTCTTTCTGCACCGATGGGCGAAAAATCAAGCATAGGTGCGAAGGAAAGGTATATAGAAAGAGGGCCAATTTCGTATTTGAGGAGAGTAAAAAGGAACTTCGTACATCTTGTACGAGTTCAAAAGGCCAAGAAGAAAAGATGGGACAAAATGAAATTTAAAATAAATGGCCCAAAAATTATAGAGGGGAAAAAAAAAAAAAGGGGCCTATAGAAAGAAAAGGAAAAGAAGTAGAAAATATTCTAAAATACGATTGTGTCCATGAGTGTAGTTAAAAGGAGAAGAAACTGTCTTCATTTACAATAAATAGTGTCTCACAGGTGTGTTTGTGTAATGAGTGTGTTTGGTAATGGTGAATAGATGTGTTACTGGGGAAAAAACAAATATTGACGGTGTTAAAATGCTTCGTATCAAGTTATTTAGCATGGAATATAAAGTAATATGTACGCTTGCATCCTGAGATATCAACAAAGGTCATCAAACAAAAGTATATATTAATTTAACCAAAGTACTTATGCTACTTTCATTCTCAACATTTTCATACATTTTCAAAAGCAGCAGCAGACTAACAACATAGAACCATATACAATACAAGACCACAACCGCATACACCCAAAAAAATAAATAAATAAATAAAATATATATATATATATATATATATGTGTGTGTGTGTGTGTGTGTGTGTGTGTGTGTGTAAATTACTGAGTATATGTATTAAAAACACAAATTAAACAGTATTTATTAATTTAACTATCATAATTTATTACAAGATTAATTATTTACTATCATAATTTATTACTAGTTAAATAATGTTAATATAACACCAATGAGGCACACTGTTATTTATATAAGCTCCATAGTTCTAAAAATTCATTTAAGGCGGTGAAGAATAAACCATCCCTTACATATGGACATTTAACAGATAGCAAAGAACAGTATGAGAAAAAATCGGTGAGGTATAATATTTTTTAAAGGCGAAACTATATTCAAGCGATCTAGAAAGAAAAGAGAATCCAGAAGATCCGAGAGGGAAATAGCGCGATGCCCAAATTATCCCTCTCATCCCCAAATTTTCCCTCTCTCGAGATTCTTTAAGGGTAAGGCTCCTCTAAACTAGGCTGAATCACCAACTTTTCTCTCTTGGCGAGGGAGTGAACGCGCTGCCAATTTTGGCGCGTTTATCGCACACGCTGGCTGAATGTCTGCTGTTTTTTAAAGATTTATTTTATAGACGCGCGGCATTCAGCGCATATAAACTTTTCGGATAATTTATTAATTCTCGAATAGTATATAGACGTTTTCACTTAAATAAAAATTTCGCGTATATTTTGTAAACATATTCAAAATAGCTTATGCTTTCAGATGTTTCAGTTTCGTTAGCACAGTACTAAATAAATAAGATATAAATAAAACCTTTCAATAGTGTCAAATGGGTAAATAGTTAAAGTGTAGAAGTGTGCAAATAAATTTATTCTTAATGACATTTTAACAAAAATTTCAATAAAAACACTGTAAATTCATACTCAAAAAATAAGTTTAGAATATGTTGTCAGTTAAGTCTCAGGATATCTGGAAATAATTGTGCAAGATTCTGAAGAAACATTTTCTTTTAAATGTGTGAAATATTTCATAACATATATGGAGAAGAAAGTACAGCATTCTGAGTTTTGGATGCTTTTCTCCAAATGTAATATAAATACGAACTAGAAACCGTAATAAAAAGTCCTTCCCTCTTCAATCAGATCACCTTTGTGTTGCATTGTGTTTGTAATACTTCTAAAAATTCCAATTTTTACCTAAATTAAAGAACTTTATTACATAAAAGATAATAAATTTGAACGTATATAGAATGAATTTTTGTAATTTGAGTTATGTTACAAAATAATTCATAGTTTATATATTTTATACTAATAATTTAGATAAAAACCTGTCCTTTTACAATTTAAGAATGTGTGTTAACCATATTCTTAAATTGTAAAAGGACGACTTAATCAAATGTAATTCATTTCAAAGCATAAAAGAAAGCTTATTTTTTATTTTACACAGCAACAGCATTTTCATGCAGTCAAGTTTTTTTTAACTGCTAGTTATTATACAGTAAGTCGAGTAATGTGCATTTATAACAAAAACGCAGGGCGATTACTTTTAGATCCGATTTAATATATGTAATAATTTCTCATATTCCCGCTCATATGTATCAAATAACTAGCTACTTTTGACACTTATTTTTAAATTTTGAGGCTATAAAAATGTTTTACAACAAAAGATTATGAGACCGAAAGAAAAATCACAGCTAATTAAATAATAATAAAGAATAAAAAAATGTAAAGGCTAAACTGTAGTTTCATATCAAAACCAAAAATAAATTTTTTCAAAGATACAAGAATGTTGAATTCAAGTCAAATGCAAATTGCAAAACTGAATTAAAGCAATTACTCAACATGGAAATTCAAAATGCAAATACTACTAATAAAGAAGGATCTTTACAAATTAATCGAAGACCTTCCTCCAAGTCCTATTACAGAACAATGGAGTAAACGGGATCGGCAATGCCGCGCGGTGATAAATCTATTTATCGAAGACAGCCAAATAATTCACATTAAACATGAAACTTCTGCTGAAGCCACCTGGGAAAAACTCAGGCAGATACATGAGAGGTCTAATCTTTCAAGTAAACTATTTCTTTTGCGAAAGCTTTACAGTTTGAAGCTTGAAGAAGACGGAAATATGGAAACACATATAAATACATTACTGGAGTTAGTCGATAAACTCAAATCAATAGGTGAGAACATAAAAGACGAACACGTTTCAGCCCCTTTGCTTTGTTCAATGCCTAGTTCTTACGATACGCTCATTACGGCTCTTGAAGCCAGAGCAGAATCGGAACTGAATCCAGAATTCTTAAAAGGGAAATTAATTGACGAATTTAACAGGAGAGTTGAAAATAATTCATCAGATTCAAATGCAGTTAAAGCCTCATTTCATAAGCAGACAAACAGAAAAAAATGTTGCTCATATTGTCATAAAAATAATAATTTTTGATCAGAGTGTTATCATATAAAATCGAAACAAAAAAATGAACCGCCCCAAAACCTCGAAGGAAACATACGCGGATTCTAAAACACGCCAAGCAAAGAATGCGTTTAACCTCGCGATGAATCAACAAGAAACAAAAATTATAAATGGTATAAATCACCAGCTTACTGTACCGTATTGTCCAGCACAGAATGGAGTCAGTGAACGCAAAAATAGGTCTTTGCTGGAGATGAGAAGATTTCTCTTAGCTGACTCAGGTCAACCTCACAGATACTGGGCAGAAGCAGTGTTAGCTGCAAATTATTTGCAGAATTGCATGCCTACAAAACCAAATGCAAAAACTACATACGAATTATGGAACAACAAGAAACCCAACCTCTCTCATCTGAGGACTTTCGGGTGCAAGGCTTTTACTTACATCCATAAATCTAAAAGGAGTAAACTGGATGATACTGCTATAGAATGAATACTCATCGGCTACGACAGCAGAAGTAAAGGCTACAGAATTTTAATTCCTGGAGATAAAATCATAATAAGTCGATCTGTACGATTTATTGAAGACCCTGAAACTAACGAGCCTGTAAGCATCTCTTTAAACCAGGATGAAGAAAATCCTAAGGAAGAAAGCTCAGAACAGGAAGAAATAAAAACTGAAGAACATCGAAAACGAAGAAATATCAGAACCCGAAGAACCTTTGGAAGTCAGAAGATCGAAAAGAGTCACAAAAGGTAAAGCTCTTGACCTCTACGGATTCCATGCAAAATATCCAGTCTCCTCCGAACCCAAAATCTGGAAGGAAATTCAAACTTTGGAAGAAGAAAATGGCTGACAGCTGTTCGAGAAGAAATTAATTCACTAGAAGAAAACAACACTTGGGAAATAGTTGATTTACCAAAAGGAAAAAAACCAATAGTATGTAAATGGTCTTTCAAAACCAAGCTCAATGCAGAAGGAAAAATTGAAAGATAC